GCTGGCTTTCTGGCACAGCTGTGTAGGCCACTGCCTGCCACATGGGTGTCCTACATCACAGCACGTGTCCAGTCCTGGCTGCTCCTACTTCTGAGTCAGCTCCCTGCCAATGCACCTGCCAAGGCAGCAGAAGACAGCCCAAACTGTGGGCTCCTTCTGCCTCCATGTGACAGACCCAGAGTTCTTGGCTCCTGGCTTTGATTTGGTCCAGCCCCAACTGTCACAGCTATTTGGGGAATGAACCAGGAGATGGAAAATCTCTTTCTTTCCATTTCTCCCCCTGCCCTTCTTTCACAAAAATAAATAAATCCTTCAACAAAGAAACAAACCAAACTTTATTATATACTTAAAAGCCCCAGGAATCAAAAGTCCTATAGTTACTTAGACTATCCAATCAAGGTGGCACCTTTCATGTAAGGCAGTTCAGTGCTCTGCATACAGGTTGGTTTTTTCTGGTTCCCACTTGTGTGACACTGTCCTAACTCTCATTCTGCTTGTACAAATGGCATCTTAAAGAAGCACATGGGGATTTCAAAAGTTTCATGCAAAATTGTAATGAAAAGAAAGGGTTTCTTTAAAAAAAATTGTTTTTGAATCCCATGCCTGGAAGACATCTTCAAAAAGCTCACGGATAATGTACGCCACAAAACACACAGAACAGCGATAACTACCACGCGTGGATTTCAAACATTTTTGCACCAAAAGAAATTTACCTTTGCATGAATTCTGTTTTCCAATGACTTTTTGAAGCACCCCTGTGTGGAGCTCCAGATGGAGTTCCTGGGAAAGGCCTTGGGGTGACGGCTCGGTGAGGCAGAGCTGGCCTTCAGCTGAGCAGTTAAGGCATGTGTGGGATGCCCGGCTGGGAAGGCTGCTCTGGCTCCCGACCCAAGCTCCTTGCTGCTGCACTGCCCCCACTGGCCAGCACGATGGCTCAAGTCTCTCCATTCCTGCCACCCACACGGGAGACCTGGATTGAGGTCTGGTCCAGACCCAGCCAGGGAGGGCATCTGGGGAGGTAAGAGTGGACGAAAGGTCTGTACCACCCACATCAACTGCAAAAACAAAACCAAAGTCCCTTGATTCGCCTGTGTTCATCAGTAAAGAACACCTGGAGAGTGCTGACTCAGCACCAAGTGTTGTGTTGGAAACACGAAGCACACAGAAAACATACAGCACAATTCCAACTCCAGCCGGGGCTGCCATGCGCATCACTCAGTTCTACCCAAGCATCCTCACGCTGACATCGAAATCAGAGTTCAAGCTCAGAGATGAGAGGCAAGCACACAACCCTCTCCAAGAGTAACATGCTTTTCAACTCTGCTCTAACCCAAAAGCACACTGGAGGCGCCATGCCAGGGAAAATCTGAACTAGGAAAACACAATGTGTGGATTTCAAACACGTAACAAACATGTAAAAAAGATACTGTTTTCATCCCACACCTTGGCCCCAGTCCTGATGAAGTATCCTCAGACAGGAAATATTCTCCAAACGTAAGAGCACAGTTCTCAGCATGTAGAGAGCGGTCTCCGGGGGAAGCAGGAATAGCAGGTACCCAGCCTGATCTGCTGCCCCCTGACCCAGCACGGGAGCCCAGCAGTCTCCAGGCTGGGAAGAGGAGCTTGAGCCTGTAGGGACAGTCCTCAGGATGCCATAGCTCAGACTCAAGGGTGCCTCCCTGCTCTGCCTGTGTTCTCAAGAGGTCACGCTTGCGGGAGTCCCGTTCGTCTTTCCAACGCACCCTACCAGTGCGTGCATCCTCCTCTATGGGTTCTGTTCCTCTGCTGACGGATGACCAGGCTGTCATTTGCTGTCACCTCTGATTCCTTGTTAGAAGTGAGGGGTATTTACAAGCCTGACAGACACTGAAAAATCTGTTTTGACCTCTCTTGCGTCATCAAGTATGAATGGCCAACTTGGAATATTTCTTTTTCTGCCAAGTTTGTGATGGACACAGGTTACAGTATCTTATAGTTAGGCAACAAATTATGCTTATTCAATGGAATTTCAATACAGAGATTGCACCTCCAGGGTCTACATTTTTCTTTCTCTCACACACACACACCCCTTTTTGACCAGGTTAACTGCTATCTGCCCACAGGTACAACATGAGGGGTTAAAGACCGGATCACAGACGAGGGGAATTTTAGCTGTGTCTACTTGTAATATTAGTCCCACCACTCAGTTTCTCGTGGAACTTGGAGTATGCTGTAGTGAAGAAGACTTGAGGGGACAACAGGGGCTTCTGGAACCTGCTCCACCTCCAGCAGATGTTTTTATTCTGGCTCTACACTCAGAACTGAGTCCCATCCCAGACCACTCCCGCCAGCTCTTTCCCCGGCTCTGTGGCTCACAGGTGCCCTTCACCTGTCTTCCTCTGCTGTGCCATCTCACACATGGGTTTCCTGCCTTGCCCCGCCCATGTCAACTTCCCACAGTGCTACCTACCAAAAATGTAAATCAGGTGCATGTCACCCTTCCTGCCCCTAAGCACCATGCCAGCATTCCCTGATTGCCTCCAGAATGGCTCCTTCTGGTCGCCCCCTCCCCGGGGCCTGCGCACCCCTCTTCCCCTGACAGAGTAGTGGTTCAGTGAGTGTGGAATGTAGCCAAGGCTGTCGCCTGCTCGGCTAATGACCTGGCTCTGCCAGCGTCCCGGCGTGACTGTGGCTTCCTTGCAGCTGCATTCTACGATCAGTCCCCAGTGTCGCACTTGCTCCCTCTCACCATCCAGCCTCTACACCGGCTCTTCTCCTGCTTGCGATGATGGCACCTGCTTAGGAACACAGCCCAGTTTCTTTCACCAAATCTCTCTTCTGGAAAACTTTGCCATGCCATGGTCATCTTCTCTCAGTAGGCCTCTGGTCTCTGACCAGGCCACAATCTCCTTGTTTTTCTCAAAGATACTCAAGGCAGGGCTGGGATCACAGTATAAGCTGGCTGCAAATGGGCACAGGAGGCATCCAGCTTAAGGGTCAGGCTGGGCGCTAAATGATGTTCTATGATTTCCTCCTCATCACAGTAAGCCAGGTGTTTGGCCAGGTGTTTGGGCGATGGCCTGGGAAACTAAGAGTTGATATATAACTCAAAGAGATGCAAATTTAAAAAATATATTTAATCCATTGTTTCTTGCAGGGAAGGAAATTCACAATTTGAAAACTGCCTGCTTCTTTAAAACTTTGTGGCCCAAACCTACGCACCTCTGACCTGAAAGCCACACTTTCCCTCCTTTCTCCCCTAGCCAATAAACAGACCAGCTTGAATGGGCACTTAGGTTAGCCATTCACTGATGGCTCACAGCACTGAGTTGTTCAATGTGCACACTAAACAAGACAGCAGCCAAGTGACCAAGGTTGTGGTCAACGCACAGCCTAGCCAATGAGAAAGGTAATCTACAAGGTTCCAAGGTTGACCGCTATCAGGGTCTGCTCCTCTCCCACACAGAACTGACCAAGAACATGCTGACTCTGGATAAGGGCAAAGGAAAGATAAAGTGATGTAAACTCAAGTTGGCTCAAGGCTGATGTGTGCATCTTTGTTCCACTCATTTAAAATACCACTGAAGTGAGATGATTCGCTCTAAATAGTTGATGACTCGGATGCTGTACGATTTCTCACACACGCACAGCCACATCTTCCATTTAATGACTGATCAAATGTCCTGGTTGAAAAGACTTAAGATCTTGCCATAAACCAGGATAATTTGTGAGATCAGAGCAAGCAGGCCTGTGCCACTCTCCCTGGACTTTCCAAACACCATTTGTGGGTAAAAGATGCCGACTTACTTGCCTGGAACCCGCCTATTTGTTGTGGTCAATACAGAAACCACACAGGATCCAGCTCTGGCACGGGAAACCTTTGAACACTGCATTTCGGAAATTCTCTTGTCATTTCACATTTTCAGTAACATTTCTTTTGGCTGCGTTTATCACACTTTCCAAAATACAAAAACGCACTTGCTATTTTAAATGTTGACTACACGCGAAAACTTCACTCGGCTCTATTACTTGCAACCCCTCCTTTATTAGCAACAGTTGTGCCGTGCTGTCGGGAAGGATTTGAAAATGAAAGGACCAAATTTGGAGAGGAGGCACATCTGTTTCGCTTTGCAGTTTGCTTTATTGGTTTATTTCTCAGAATATGAGTTCACAACTATCTTATAACTGAAGACTAAAGAAAAAGCATATGTTGGTAAATCTGATTTCTTTTTTTTTCATTCAAGGGAGGTTGCCTTCATCAGCTGTCTGCCAAAAAGAAATAAAGGGACTTGGAGAAAAGTTTATTTAAGTTGGCTTTATGGTGCCAACATAATACAGAAATCAAGTACAGGACAGGCAGAAAAATCTGTTCCTTTGAAGTCAATAGGAATCCATCTCCTTAATCCTTTTTTTATTCCAAGCAGTGGTGATTTTTCTCCACTGCTCTTCGAGAACCTTGCCTAAGCTCAGTTATCGTTCTTCTCCAGAGCCTTCCATCTGTCCCCCTGACAAGTGTCATCTTTTATCCTTGCAGAGTGGTGTGTCTGGCTATAGAGACTGGAAAACTCTGGATACTAATTATTGTGCACATCCTAGAAGATTAAGAATGGCAGCAGGCGAAAGAAGAACTGAACCGTAGAGCACCCACTCAGATATGACCATGGCGGAGATGGCAAACAATGTGATACCGTCCAGCTTTGCCGAGCCAGCCCCATTTAGCTTCTTGCCATGGCCCTGGCTGACTGCTTCTCTGCTCATCTTGGACCAATGCCCCGAACACCAAGTAATACTCCACCTTCGACACCCCGAGCCTAGCTGCTAGTGGGCTACGAATCAGGTAGAAGTATACATATACATGACAATATACCCATGTTTCAACAGTTCATAATTTTCAAAAAGGAGCATTATCTAGGCAGGACAATCAAAACCGAAACCCTGTGCACGTGACTTGAAGACACTGAAAAGTTCAGCATCGGGCAGGACTCTCTGATTGCAGGTAGAATGAGCAAAGGACTTCTTACCTAAACTGAAGAGCACCAAGAATTTCAGACACACAAACTCCCGCTGGTCAAACTGTAGAGAACGCAGCTTCACCACCAGCTCCTGGGCGTGACTCATGAGGTTGTTGAGGGTGGCCCCTGCCTGCGATGCTATTATGGAGTAGTCCACCTGCAACACAGAACCACACTTTCAATGACTCTAGGACCACAAATGAAACCTGCATGTCACGTTCCTGAGTCGTGGGTAAAGCCATCAAGCTGAACACACTGCCAACAGAGCCAACTGTCCCCAATACTAGCTCGAGATGGTCAACTATAAATGTCATATGCTTATCCTGATAAAGTTAATCATTTCAAAGCTTGACAGGGAACAGACTTGGCTAGAAATTTCTTAGAAATTGATTTTTCTATCAGAAAATTTCATTATTTGATAAAAATGAAGTTTATAGAAAATGCATACTGTGGAATTACTGCATGCATTCCGCTTGGGGGTGGCAGGGAGGAGCGGACAGACATCACAAAGCTTATCCTTTTATTTCACTTTTTTTTCATGAAGTTTTTAAAACATCCTGTCATTGAAACAAGAATGTATTGTCTGTAAGCAGAGAGCTCAGAACAGTCCACGTGGACACAGCAGGTGAAGAAAATAAAGGCAGACACGTCCCTTTTGGCTCCAGGAAGCAGTATTTTGAAGTAATCGTGGGTCAGGGTTGCATTTGGGGGGCTGGTGTTGTGGCATGGCAGGTGCCAGTTCATGTCCTGGCTGCTCGGGACATGTCACTTTCGGTCCTGCCCACTGCTAACACATCTGGGAGAGCAACGGAGGCAGGACCAACTCCTAGAGTCCCTGAGGGCCACATGGGAGACCCAGGAGAGATGCCTGGCTCCTGGTTGTGCCCCAGCCCCTGTCGTTACAGCCATGTGGACAGCGGACCAGCAGAGAGAGGATCTCCTCAGCTGCTTATCTGCCTTCCAAGTAGACAAATTTATCTTTAAAAAACAAGAGTATATGCTTCCGGGTGACAAGAATCACCACTGAAGTGCTCTTTAGTCACGTTGCTTCATAAAAAGCAACGGGATAAACCTGCTTTTCTTTTAGCAGATAATTAACATCAAATAGACAGGAGTGATGCTATTTGTAACAAGACGAATTCCTTGACCTGGAAAACAAGAAAGAGGAGGCTTTTCCATTTAAAGAAAAAAAAAGTTATGCATCGGTCTTAGATAATTCCATTTCTAATAATAAGTGAAGATGTTGGACGGCTGTCGGGGTTAGGGTTGGCGTTGCCGTGGCAATCACAGGATAACGGCGCAACCCGTTTGGTACCTGGTGTTGTCTCATCCTTTTTTACTGGCGAGTGCTCAGGCAACCAGATACTCTTTCAGGGGCATTTAATATTTGCAGCAGCAGCAAATTTGTCTGGGAGGCAAGTCCTCATCTGCCACTCACCCAGAGCAGACTGTATTAAATTTTTATATTTATTGACATTTCATTACCATAATTGACTGCACTTGCTTCTCCAGGAGAAGGCGCGGGGCCGCCTCCTTCACGGGAGAACGAGTCCCTGGAGTGGAATTTGCAATTAAAAACAAGGCAGAATAGATTTTTTTTTATTGTGTAAATATGATGAGTTGAATTTTCAGCTTTAACTAGAGAATACTTGGGGGTACAGAAACCTTTTTCAAGAGTGAGGAAAATTATGAGTCCGTGATAAGACAGCCCCCAAAGGTGTCAATCAGTTTATGGAGAGCCAACTGTGCGTGAAAAAGCCACGGGGAAGTGCACTGGCACGAAGCTCTGTGCCGTGCTCACCCACGAAACCCAGCCCAGAGGGGTACTGCCAGCTCCTCTGGCTCCTGTGCCACATCGTGCACATGAAGGGATTGGTGCCTGAGCCTGGAGCTGGAAGAAGGAACAAGCCATGGAGCTCAGCCAAGGGCCCCCTGGAATCATGCCAGTTTTCTTCCAGGACAACTTTCTCCTCCCAGGCACTGCTTACTTACAGTGCCTGAGCGTCCATCCTTTAAAAAGTGTTCAAACTACTCCAGGTGGTTAACACAGGTCGAGTAGTCCCAACACAAAAACCCCAAATAGTCCAGAATCTGACATTTCATCATGCTCCAATCAGAATATGCCATCCTTGAGGTCATGGAATGGTTAAAAGGCAGGTGCACCAAAGACACTGCACAGTGGCTGGCATCCTGGTGTGTCAAACCTCTGCCTACTACACGGGCACCACATGAGTGCCTGTTCTGAGTCCTGGCTGCTCCATTTCCCGTCCAGCTTCCTGTTCATGGCCTGGGAAAGCAGCAGAGGATGGCTCAAATACTTGGGCCCCTGCCACCCACGTGGAAGGCCGTGCTGGTGGCTCTTGACATCAGCCTGGTCCAACCCTGGCCTTTGTGGTTGTTCAGGAGTGAACCAGCAGATGGAAGAATCTCTTTCTCTCCCCCTGTGGCTATACCTTTTTAATAAATAAGTCTTTTAAAATAAAACATTGCAAAAAATTACTTCCTATACAAAAACAAACCAGCTTCACATTTCCACCCAGGTCCCATCCCCAATGTACCTCATCATGTATCTGCAAATATTGCAAAAATCCAAAACACTTCTGGTACTACTAAGCATTTTGGTTAAGGGACACATAATCTGTAACACAGATTCTACATGTAGGCTAGCAGAAAGGCACGGTGGGGCAGTGGTGTTGGAAGAAGCTTGGACAAGAAAAAAACTCCAGGCCGATGCCACCACCCCTTACAAATGAAGGGCCACCAACAGGCCAGCCGGTTGGTGCCACATCTTTAGTAAAGCAGGTCGGCTGGATGTGGGTAACGATGTGCCCCCCTCTTCTGTGATAATCAAGTTGGGACAATGCCTGGTGCCAAGTGAACGTGCTGCCGCATCAACTCCAAGTATCCCTTCTTCACATCCTCACTGAGAGGCAGACAGACAGCTCCTGTCTGCTAGCTCCCTACCCACACACCTGCAACAGCTCAGGGGATGAAGTTGGGGTGGGAACGCAACCCATTCCCCAGTGCGGGGCAGGGACCCAACTTCTGGAGCCATCACTACCGCCTCCCGAGGAAGCTGGAAATGGGAAAGAGAGGCAGGAACTGAACCACACACTCCCGCATGGGATGCCAGCAGCCCAACTGCCCACCCTGCTGGAGCGCAACTCACCAGGGAGACCTCATATTTACTAGAGACACCTTGTATTATTTAATACAACTCACTAGGGAGACCTTAAGTCAGGCAGGCCATATAAATATTTAAATCAATGATATATTTAAACAAACAATATAAATAAATAACTAAATAAAGCACTAATAAGGTGATACTAATTTTTTGTTATTACTCAAGTGTTGATGCCCGTGTACTTTTTTTCCTTTTTCTTTTGAATTTTATGGTACAATTATGTTGATGCCTGTGCACTTCCAACAGGTCTCTAATCACAAGTTTAAATACTGAGAGTTCATCTGAAGATACAGTACACTATAATGGAAGGCAACTAAGTCATTCCATAGGACGAGGTCTTCAGCGAGACACCCCTGGTGAGCCGGACCTCGGGAAATCAATTGGCACACCAACAACTTTATAGCTATACATTTATTTACATGCTAATTTGAAAGCTCAAACATGCTTATTCAATGGGGGGCTCCGAGAGCATTTCTTTCAAGGATAATTTATCCGACTGCACGGCTACAGAGGGGAATGCGTGATTACTCCCTGAGCAGCACCCGGATCGGCAACTTCCTCCGATTTTACGACAAACATAATTATATTTTCATTGCTGACTGCAGGCCGTGCGCTCTTGCTGCAAGAGCAGCTGGCCTTGTCTGTTATGTACTTGGTAAAATGAATTTATGGCTCTCTTACATGTAATCTTCATGCAATTAAATCGGAGAGAGATACTGAAGAAATGCCCTATGCCAGGGGCCCCTATGGATAAATGTTCAACTCATCATGGGGGGAGAAACAGTTTAAACTAAATTGCTTTTAGTTCTGATGTCTTGTATATTGTAAGATGTCTGTCGTTTTAATACGGTCAAGAAAAATAATAAGTTGTTGGTAGATTTTTCCCTTAGGATAATGTCACAGTGGCTGTTAATTAGCCACAATATGCAAACAGTGAAACCCAACCCCCTTCAGAGGACTCCATTGTGTGTGTATGTTAGAGATACATGTGTTTACCCACACGTGTTAAAAGCACCCGGAAGAAAAAAGTTCTTGTTATAAGATGCTTAACAAAATGGACTTGCCAGCACTTAATATTACTGATCATCATTTCCATTCTAACAAGGTTATTTAATGGATACTTTCATAGATGCCTGATTAAAATGAATGAACACACATTATTAAAACCCAACTGTTGACTTTAGATTCCCAGGGATGGGGTAGAAAAAAAACTTGGCTGACCACTCAACTCTTCATTTCAATTCTAAGTCATGGCACCGTGCAGTGACCATCACTCCAGCTCTGGATGCACCAGAGCAGGGCTCGGTGCTTCCGACCGGGGCACCTGCCAGTCCTGGGCCTTGAGCACAGGTTGCAGTGTAAGCAGCAGTCCCCCGGATGCCTCCTCCTCTTAATTCAGTCTTGGTGCTGTTTTCCTTCACCGCCGAGTTAAAATCACCTCATTGTTGACAGTAAAGTATATTCAATAAGAAAAATCTAAGGCTGGGCAAGGGCCTTGCTTCCCTTGGCTTGTCCCTTGTGTGTGGATGCACAAAAATGCCTCAACGAAGATGGCGCACGCCTGTTCTTCAGGCTTCGTCTTGGGTCTGGAATGTGGCCCTACCACTGCGGACAGGGCGCATATAATCTCTCTCTTTGCTGATCCTCAAATCTCCAAGTACGTACTTCTAGCTATCCTCGAAGCTGTGGCTGGACCCCTGAGGCGAGCCCGGCCAGGGTGCCCCGGGAGGCTGCAGAGGGGATGTTCATCCAGCAAGTCCTCATCACTGCTCCCCCCGCTCTGGGAAGGTGTCCAGCCACAGTCTGGGCTCCCATTTGCAGGCAGAACACAGCCTCTCTCCCCAACGCGAAGGGGTTGCTTTGCAGAAGCTTGGCCACCTGGCGGCTCGGATGCCCACCCATCCCATCCCCCTTGCACTCCCTCTTCCCCACTTCTCTCGCACCTGGTCAGAGCCTGTGTGCCAGGGGTTACCTGGGACAGCACAGAGAGGGAGGCGGCAGCCCGGGCCCCCATCACTCAGCAGGTCAGTGAATTCTCTCGTTGCCATTGACTACAGTGCTGCGTGCGCATCACTGTTCTCACCCTCACACTTCCCCTTTCAGCAGAAACATGTTTCAGCTAAAGGGGAAACAAAAAAGTATGCCTGGCCAGTAGGTGAGAACCACAAGCTGTCTGGAGGGGAAGCCTGCCAGCTGCACCACGTCACCTGTCCTTCACAATACCGAAATACAAACCTTGATAAGATGCACTACACGTAGTTTCTATCTCCATCTGAAAGTTCACTTTCCAACAACCATGGGAGTAGGTCAGTGTGTCTGTGCGAGAGGCAACTCATTTTTATAGAGAAAAAAGGAAGAGGGCCTGGACTTGCGCAATAGCCTAGAGGCTAAAGTTCTCGCCTTGAACATGCCAGGATCCCACACTGGTGGCGGTTCTAATCCCTGCGGCCCTGCTTCCCATCCAACTCCCTGCTTGTAGCCTGGGAAAGCAGTCAAGGACAGCCCAAAACCTTGGGACCCTGCGCCCATGTGGGAGACCAGGAGGAGGCTCCCGGCACCTGGCTTCAGATCAGTTCAGCTCCAGCCACTGTGGCTGCTTGGAGAGTGAACCAGCAGATGGAAGATCTTCCTCTCTGGCTCTCCTCCTCTCTGTATATCTGACTTTGCAATAAAAATAAAAATAAATCTTAAAAAAAAAGAGAAAGAGAGAGAGAGCCTGGTGCTGCGGCATAGCCCACTAGGCCTCTGCCTGTGGCACCAGCATTCCATAAGGACGCTTCAGGTTGCAACCCTTCTGACCCAGCTCTCTGCTAATGTGCCTGGCAAAGCAGCAGAGGATGTCTCGAGACTTGGGTTCATGCACTCACATGGCCAACCCCCAGGACGCTCCTGGCTTTGGACTGGCTCAGCTCCGGCCACTGTGGCCATCCGATGAATAAGCCAGTGGATGAAATCTTCTCTTTCTCTATATGTAACTCTGCCTTTCAAATAAGTAAATCTTTTTAAAAAAGAAAACCACTTATTTAAGACCTACTTTTGTTCCCCAAAGATCAGAAGAAAACTCAACAGCAACAACAAAGGCTCATTTACAGAGGTGACATTAGGAGTGATTTTGTTTTAATTTTTAGCTGTCTTCATATAGTTTTGTAACAGTAATAATTACATTAAAATTGCTTTTGCATAATTCACGCAACATGTTTATAAAGCCATGTAAAAACAAAGAAACCTAGGAATGCTGTGTGTCTAGTTCCATACAAAGGGAGAGGAATCTGCTCTGGATGAAGTTCCACTGAGGCGGCCACGCAGAAAAGCACTCAGGACAGGCCCGCATGGCACACAGGGCAAGACATGAGCTCAGGCCCTGCTGGGCAGAATGCCGCCGTGCCACCTGGTGTGTGTGTTTCCAGCTGAAGCAACTCCTTCCTCTCTCCACCTAGTTTCTAATCTGCATATGGGGATAACAATGGCGTTTCCTGACATAGCTGCTAACCCTCTAACTGTCAAGCCGTGCGTTAGGCTGCCTGTGACGACTTCTAATTCTTACGTCGTCATGCACAGAGCTATGTCATGTAAACCTCGCTGCCCGGGGGGTATCAGCCCACTGTCCACCGGACAGTGATGAGGACGCTGGACCAAGAGGACATGCTCCGGGCGTCAGAGGCAGCAGGTGCAGGGTGGGCACTTGATCACAGGGTGATCTCTCTCTCTCACACACACACACACACACACACACACACCTGTCCCCCAAGTCCACACAAGACAGCAGACAGTTTCCACTAGTAAAAACACACCCCATCTATGGTCCAACTTTTTTCACCTAAACACAGTCCTTTCTTCTTTCATCAATCTTACCATCTTCCCACAATCTATCTTACCCCTCATACTTTTTATTACTGCTATTGCTGCTGTTTTTAACAAAAATCTACTCTCCCCATTCTTGTCCTCCAACAAGACTTTACCACTATTAAGAAAATTATTAATATTTAAAACTTAATAATCCAAAAACATTTCACTCATCCTCCTGGGCCACAGGGTAGGTAGTGGTCAGCAACAGCAAGAGGGGGAAATGGAAATCCACTGTTGGATCCAGGGTCCAGGGAGAGCTGGACGTGGGAAGAGGGGAGACACAGGCTGTGCGAGCATGCTGAGGCTGGTTACTCTGGCTCACCTATCTGAGGGAAGCAACGAGGTTAGAGACAGCACCACTCGACTGGGCAGTTAGAGGTTAGTACAACCAGCTAATGTCCATGCTGTGCCTCGGTTAGAGCAGGTGCAGGGGTGTGTTCGAGTCCGTCCTTGTGACTACAACCCCATCTCTTTCCCATCCGTTAGGGAAGTCAGGTGCTCTGCAGAAGTCTCCTTTGTAGGATTTTGGTTTTCACTCTTTGAAATCATGGGAAACCCAGGAGAATGCTGAAAATGCTTTGTCTACCCACGGAAGAAAATCCAAGCTCTTTTCCATAACTGCCATACATGAAGAGTATTTGATTATTCTATTTACATATTCAACATATTATCACGTTATGATAACATTAGGCTATTCATTTGGAATGCACGGGAAGAAACACACAGTGGGGGTAAGCGGGGTGGGTGGTGGGAGAAGCAGGAGCGCCAGGGTGCGGGGAAAGTCACTCTCGAGGCCTGGCTCATGGCGTAGCCTGCTAAGCCTCCACCTGAAATGCCCATCATCCCATATGGGTGCTGGCTTCTGTCCCAGCTATTCTACCTACTAAAACAGTGGGGGACAGTCCAAGGGCTTGAGCCCCTGACCCGTGTGTAGGAAGAAGATCCTGGCTTTGGACCAGCCCAGAGTTGGCCACTGTGGCCATGTAGAGAGCGAGCCAGCAGATGGAAGATACTTCTCTCTTTTCCTCTAATTCTGTCTTTCCAAAAAATTGTAAAAAAAAAAAAAAAAATCTAAAAAAAAGAATCTTTCCAGCAGGGAGTCTTCATTCAGCTCCAATGGCAAAATACAAGAACAGAGAAGCAACAATGGACACTGAAGACCTTGGTACCATTTATTCCTGGAGGATTCAGGGTTCTGAACATAAGAGAGGAAACAAATGCACTTCCTCAGTTTTTAAAGTAGGAATTCCCTTTACCAAGGGGCAGTGCTTGAAGTGGAAAGAAATGTGAGCTGGGGAGTATTTCTAAAAGGCAGAGAGGCTAATACTTTAAGAAGCTACGCACAAACCCATCCCACTCCTTAAACTCGGAAGGAAGTGAATTAATTTATGGGCTAGTCTCGTACTTCTAATGCAGCATCTCATTGGGGGGCGGGGGTAGGTGGGAGATACCAACGACTAGACCCTGCACGTGGGTCCGTGTCCTTCACAGGATGAAAATACTACACAAAAAGGGAAACGCACAGGAAGACAACCCCAAGGGGTTGCTCATTCAGAAAGCTCTTCTCTCAAGGGGTGCCAGGCACGGGGACCAGACACACATGGAAATGGCCGAATGGATCCAATGTGCAAAAACTCCTGAAATACTGCCTGCCTTTAATTTGATTGGAGAAATGTGATTTATTCACAATGGAGCAAATGATGTGGAGCCTGCCTTTCATTTCCAGGCGTGAGCCGCCGTGCTTTCACAGCACATAAACATTTATGGCTGCCAGCCGGAGACCACAGGGCCTGCGTGCTGCTGCTACCCGACACACAGAGAGGCCCCGGGCGCCCCACCCTGTCCAAGGCTCCCTGTGTTGGCTGTCGCCAGCCCTCGATGTAAGCAGCTAAAGAAACAGAAGGACTTGCCTGAGCCCTGGAGAGCGGGAGTTAGGTGCATGGGGCAGAATATTTCTTTTCCCCAAGACATCTGCAAGGCCGTCCCTCCTCTTTGAAGTCCCTGCATCTCCATTCTGTGCCACTCTGCCACAGGCCTTTGCTCTCTGGTTCCTCCTCTATTCAACAACACCTTGTCCTCCGACACAGCACGTTTCATCAGGATTCTGTCTACACCTGTTTCTCCTGCTATTACGTTAAGTTCCAAGAGGACAGGAATCGTTGCTTTGTTCACTACACTGATGCCACAGCCCCGCGACAGCGACGAGCACACAGCTTGATGCTCAGGAAGGACCAGTTAACCCAACAGGCATCTACCTTTTTTTCAATAACTGTCTCTAGAAAGCAGAAATACTGTGTGCCAACTATTTGAATCATATTTGCCATCTCAAGTCCCATCTTGAACCAGTGTCATTCCACAAGAGTGAGGATCCCACAGACTGGGACTGTACCATCTCCAAGCAATTGACAAACCAGCGTGGTAGGTTGGGACAGAAGCTCAAGGGCAAACACATGTGTATCAGTCACCCATGGGAGCGCTGGGGAGCTAGCTGCTGCCTGGTTCCCTGGGAAGGAAGCCTTCTGTTCCATCCGGCTTTCACAAGCTTAACTGCAGTCATCCGAGTGCAGACACGTGCATCGAGTCATCATCGCTAAAAGATCCGCAGCCAGCCCCTTGCCTTTCAGAGCACAAGAGCTCTTCTGATCCAGTGAAGTCCCTGCCATTCTGAGCATGCTTAATAAAAGGACACTTTCCCCCGGCCCCGGTCTCCCCACTCACTTGTTGCCCGGTAACCAGGAAGATGGAGCCTTCCTTGCCATGCACCACTTGCCGATAAATGTGGTCCAGGATGAGCAGCTCACTCCAACAGTTCTGCAGCAGCTTCATCTGGTCGTCAACCTGCGGACAGAGCACGGGACAGGAGACTGACACGGCTGTTCACGGCCTCTCGCTTCTGCGCAGGTTTCCCTGCACGGGAATTCCCTGTGTAAACAAGGCACAGGTGCTCACAAACCCCACCCCTCTTCCTTTACAATCCCTTTCCTTTGGCAGAGACCTTCTAGGCCACAGAGAAATACTTACAACAAATGAACTGCGAGAAGGGACTCTGTTCACCTGCTCTGGGAGGCGCTAACAGAACCACCCGAATTTGTCTGCAGGAGGTACAGACGCCCAGATTTGGACTATGACACGTGTTTATGTACACTTTATGTAGTTCACCTACCTCAGTTTCCCCATCAGAATGTTCACTGGATCAAAAGTAGAGCTCCCTTATACAGGGCTGCCACGAAAACGGGAGCGAAAAGTGCCATCCCTACGAGGCCTTCTATCTGTGCCCCCCGGCCTCCAGGGAACCGTCTTCTTGGATGACGAAAATGCCCGGTTCTCATGTTCAGTTCACACACCCAGAGTCTAAAGTCGAAGGGGAGATGGAGCCTTTGCCATGGCCCCTTGGGACACTTTACAATGAAACTAGCCTCAACGTTCAGTGTGTCCCGATCTCGTGGCCCTGTTTGTGGACCTACTGCACTGTGCATTTATTAAAAAAAAAAAAAAAAGAAAGACACCTGACATTTCTGTTGAGTGATATTTTAAAGAGTTTTAATGCATGATTTTAGACGAGATTCACAGGGCATACATCTCAAGTTGCAGACCCTGACAGCCAACTATCAGAGCAGAACGTGGGGTTCTCAGAAAGAATTCACGCACATGCCTGAGAATTTTTTTTTCTCCCTTTCACATCCAGATTCACCTCTAAATCATATCAACAAGTCCAAGAATTTGCTAAACAAAATCAATTCGCTGTCACAAACTTGACTTTAACAAATCCCCAGGGACTTTGGCTAGTGGCCACAGACACATCTGTGGTCTACGTACGGCTCTTCATTCCTTAGGGGGCCAGGAAGGCATGACCTGTGGTCAGGAGAGTTCTCAACCGAGACTCAACTTTACACTGAACCCTGGAGCCTCGCGTTCTCACCTGCAGCATACCCGCACAAGGGTGGGCCGCGAGGACAAACGTGCGGATGAGAACACCACACGCAAAGGGAAGAACAAGGCATAAATGAAGAACCCTAATGCAGGAGCCTTCTCTCCCGAGGATGTGTGCTTCTCGGAGGGGAAAAGGCCAACTACAGAGCTTCAAGGGTAACCAGCCCATAGAACAACGCTATACTGTCCTATAGAGTACAGCTCCATCAACCATCCCAACCGACCAGAAGATGCTCATGTGCTGAGTGAACAGCCTGCCTGTTAGTTCATGGGTGTACATGCCAAGGCCTGAGATGTGAAGGGACGTCCAAGAGTTCATGGAAAAGTACAAGATGACCCTGATCTTTTGATTTAAAAGGCATAGTAAATGTTTTTGCAAAACTGGCATCCTATACACCGGAGAGCTGGTTCCAGTCCTGGCCACTCTCCTGCTAACGCCCGGCTGGCACTCCAGGCTCCTGGCTTCAGCTTGCTGGCCCAGTTGTGACCATGGTGACCATCTAGGGAGTGAGCCTGCAGATGGAACAGCTCTGTCTCCTCCTGTTACTCAGCCTTTTAGATAAATAAAATGTGTTGGTTTACTTGAGTATGAGCGAGAGAGAACTTTGCAGCTGCTGGCTCACTTCCCAAATGGCCACAACCAGGTCAGGAACTCCACCTGGGTCTTCCACTTGAGTGGCAGTTACTCAAGTCCTTGGGCCATCTTCTGCTGCTTTCTCAGGCACATTCACAGGGGGCTGGATTGGAAATGGCGCAGCAGGGACTTGAACTGGTGCTTTCCTGAGAAGCAGGAGGCAGCTTAACTTGCAGTGCTACAACATCAGCCCTGCACAGTTGTTTTTTAACATTACCATCTTTCTTCCACACTCTGAAGGAGCCTCATGGGTGATGGCTGTCCCTGCCTTGGTGGCAACCTCTCCCGTGGGGAAGAACATGGCAGAACTGACAGCGAGAGGTTGGGCTCCTCTGCCCAGATGCAGGGTGCCGGACCATTTTCCAAGTCTGGGTCTGGGCACCGGCAGATGAAGCTCAATACAGACACACTGTGTAAACAGTTGACCAGGGAACAGTGGCCTGACCCCTGGCAACACGCATGTCATTGCACCCAATGTGCATTCAGATTCCTGGAATCGTCCCTTTCAGGTGCCAAGTGGAGATTGCACAACACATGCCCTTTGCTCTTCTGGGCCTCAGCTCACTCTCACACAGCATCGGCACCTCCTTTCAGACTCAGCCTAAGACAGCAGCCTAGCTCTACTGTGTCCGATGGAGAGCTTCAGTTACTAACCTAGGACTCTCCTCGGGGAAGCCCCAAACGCTGCACCTTTCAGATGGTGCGCCTGGAAACAACTGTCCATTGGGTCACAGCGTCAGGATTCTAGATCATCAGAACAGGGGGGCGGGACTCTGCAAAGTCCACCTGTGGATCCTCAATGGCGACCCGAACTTACGGATCTACTTATGCAGCAACAAAATCAACACGTCCCGTCCCGTTGTGCTGAGAGAAACGAATGAGCTCAGACTACCTGCTAGCCTGAAGCAGTGAAGAGAGTGAGGTGTCCATCAAGACTGAGGTGTCTATACTGGGCCAGTGCTGCAGTACAGCACATAAGCTACCACCTGCAGCACTGGCATCCCACAGGGTGCTGCCAGTTCAAGCCCCAGCTGCTCCCCTTCCATTCTAACTCCCTGCCAAAGCACCTGGGAAAGCTCTGAAGGGTGTCCCAAATGTTTGGGCCACTGCACCTACTTGGGAAAACCAGAAAAAGCTCCTGGCTCCTGGCCATTTGGGGTGTGAACCAGTGGATGGAAGACTTCTCTCTGCGTCTCTCCGTAACTCTGCCTTTCAAATCAGTCGATCTCCAGAAACAGCAGAGCAGCATGCTTTTGGGCAACATCTTACTTAGACAGCGTCATTGCACCGATGAGCCCCTGTCCTTCACAGAGAAGGAAACAGAAGCAGAGATGGTAACCAGGTGACTGGACCTTTCCTAGCCACCCGTAGGGATGCGCAGGGCACCTGCACCTGAGCAGCCCCCAGCTGCCCTGCTGCTTTAGACACTGGAGGAATGCGGCCCAAGAACTTGAGAGATGCCATGTGCAACTTCCACATCCCCCATTGTGGCAGCCGCTGGCTTTGGGTTCCTCCCGCCTCTGCCTTCCATCTCACTTCCAGCTGATGGACACCCTGGGAGGAAGCGAGTGAAGGCTTGGGCCCCTGGGTCCCTGCCACTGTCATGGAGGACCAGACCGAGTTCCAGGCTTGGGACTTCAGCACGCTGTGGACATTCGGGGAGTGAATCAGAAAAAGGAAATGCCCCTGCCTCCCTTCCAGGGAAAATAAATACATAAATGCCAATTGATTTAGTCTTTAAAACAAAAGGGAAAGGAACGGGCAGGAATAAGTGAGATTCAGGTTCGCCTACTCATATCTCCCCTCACTAGTTCTTCCCACTGTGAGACCACACGGCTCACGTGGCTGCCTCACCCCTGTGCCCGCCAGGACCTCCCATCTCCTCCCTACTCACCGCGCGCCGGAAGTGTTCTGCGCACTGGAAGTGTTCTCTGTGGTCCCTCCCTGAGGAAGCTGGCAGGACAACGGATCACCTCCCGTCATGCCTGGCAGCCAAGTGGCTCTCACAGGACTTTCATGTCATGTAAGATCACCACACGGCCTCCACCCTGTCATCTTCTGTGGGTCTCTGGGAGCTGCTCTGTGCCCCTGCCAAGCATGCAGCTCCTTCATGTTCACAGAATCAGCGACAACCTTTCCGCCACAGCGAACGCACCAGGAACCAGCTCCCAAAACCTCGGGCAAGACATTTTGACTGATAGCAATTGGAACACCCCCCTCCGGAGCCATCAGTTCCTTGTTTTAATGCTCTCCGAGGAGGTTTTTCGCACCAACATGCCATCTCATTATATTCCATAATTGATTATGTGATATTTTATGTGATCTTGCAATTGGTGAGTGGGCAAACTCCACAGTGGTTGCTAGGGAACAAGATTCTACGCAGCTCTGTGGACACAAGAATGGGGTAGACGACACACACGTGGTGCCGAGCGTCTGCATGTACTGGGAAGAACTTTCTCCTTCTGCAAACAGAAATTATAAGGTGAGGGGTGGGGGAAGGGCAAGAAAATGATCCTCTTTTGGAGTCCACTTTCCAGGTATGGATGCTGTCAGTGGACAATTTAAGATATCACCTAGATAGCCTGGCTGGGGATGTAAGCTAGTATGCAAGTGCCAGCATGGTCTGGGGTGGAGTTGACAACGCCACGCTGAGTCTTCCCGAGCTAGCAGCTGTAATGAAGGGAAAGTCTTATCTCCGAGCCTGGTTACTCAGGGAAACCATCCTGATATCCCAGAGGAGCGTATACAGGGATACACGTCCCATTCTGTTACCAAGCACAACTTCCCACACCCCAGGAATGTTAATCATCAGAAGCATATGCTTTCTCACAGGAAGAGTCAGGTGGACAAACAATGAGAAGAAAAATGGGCTGACGACTCTCTCCAGGCCACTTCCTCCCCAGCGCACTTCTGCACCCCTCCCCTGTCCCTTGAACAGCTCAGCAGCTGATCTGTCCCTTCCCCTTCCCTCTCCGCAGAGGCTATGGGACACAGATCCCACATACCACTGTGGGGCTCAGCCTTCAGTAGGACACATCTAAGAAAGCCTTCTAGAAGGATGGACTGGTGGTTTAAAGTGGGTGGAGCCACATCTCTTACTTCTGACTTTGGTGTGTGAAGGCTGGGGGAATGCGGAGACCAAGGCAAAGGAGGAGAGAGGCGGAGGGCGTACCTGCAGGTGCACAGGCAGCTCGGAGTGTGGAGCCCTCCTGCTCCTGGAAGAGGCCGCCCAGACTCAGAGCAGCAGCTCAGTCCCCGCCCCACAGAATCACGC